CTTTAGTTCGACAACATAATCCGGACGTTGTTGCTCTGTTTGAACCACGGATCAGTGAGGCAACTGCTGACAAGTTCGTGCGCTATAGCAGATTTGAGAATTCATTTCGAGTGGAAGCCAGGGGATTCTCGGGAGGCATCTAGCTGCTATGGAGGGATAGAGTGTCGGTTGAGGTTTTGTACTCTTCTAAGCAGTTGATTCATGCCCAGGTAAGCAAAGATGGCGTGGAGAGCCTCGTCTCATTTATCTATGCTAGCCCCAACGCTACTATTCGACGAACCCTTTGGCCTGAACTAGAGAGGTTAGCCTCGGGCGTCTCCACACCGTGGCTTATTGGAGGGGACTTCAACTGCCTACTACATTCCTATGAAAAGGTCGGTGGATCTCGAGGTTCTTGTAATACTAGTCCTGAGTTTGCGAACTGGATGTTCTCCAACGGGATCAAAGAGGTCACGACGGATGGACATCTTTTCACGTGGGCTAGGGACAGTCAGTTTGGTAGAGTCATGGAGAGACTTGATCGATTCGTGGCAAATTTAGAATGGATGGAGAAATATGAGACAAGTCGGGTGCGTTTGCTGCCTCGCATTCAATCGGATCAATCGCCACTGATGGTCACCTTCGGTCAACATAACTTCGTGCCACAGGGCGTGAAACCATTTCGGTTTCTAGCATCGTGGCAGCTCTATCCCGACTTTCCAGCTATGCTCCAAGGCTCGTGGCAACCAGCGCTTAGTTTCAATGAGGCGGCCCAGAAGTTCACAGAAGCGGCCACGGAATGGAATGCCACGGTCTTCGAGAACATTTTTAGGCGGAAAAATCGGCTCCTCGCAAGAACTGGAGGTATCCAACGGAGTAGTCGATATCATATCTCGGCAAAGCTAATGGAGCTGGAAAGACAACTGCGACTGGAACTTGATGATGTTATCCTCCAAAAAGAGTTACTTCTCCTCCAGAAAACTACGAGAGATTGGTCGCACTTGGGTGACAGAAACACCTCATACTTTCACCGACAACTTAAGTTCCGTCGACGCAAGAGCAGGATCCTGGAATTGGTGAATGATATAGGCCAAATAATAACTGACCAACAGGCTCTTCAACATCTAGCCACAATGTTTTTTTCAAAAAATTTACACAGCGGGGCAGGCGCCGGCAGGGAATGAGGTGGAGCCAAACTTATTTCAACATTGTGATGAAGAGACTATGCAGGCCCTGGAGGTAGAGATATCGGACGATGAAATTTTCTTGGCGCTCCAAGGGATGGGTTCTTTAAAAGCGTCGGGACTCGATGGCCTTAATGCTCTTTTCTTTAAGAAGAATTGGTCCATTGTGGTCCCGTCAGTTCGGGAGTTTATTCATAAAATGTGGCATGAGGGTGAAGTCCCAAGCGAGATTAACCAGACATTGCTGGTTCTTATCCCCAAAGTTGATAACCCTTCAAACATAAAGCAATTCCGACCGATAAGCTTACTGAATGTCATATACAAATTGTTCACGAAGGTGCTCGTTAACCGGATGAAAGGCTCGCTTTCTAATCTACTCCACCCGGCTCAGGCTAGCTTCGTCCCGGGCCGTCAAATCATAGACAATATTGTCGTGGCACACGAACTACTTCACTCCATGCGCCGGAAACAAGGTGCAACTGGTCATATGGTCATCAAGGTCGACCTCGAAAAGGCCTATGACTTCCTTCGATGGGAGTTCATCCAGGATACCCTGGAACTAGCCGACTACCCCAGCTCCTTGATCAAAGCCATCATGGCTTGCGTCCGGTCATCTTCCATGCGGCTTCTCTGGAATGGTACATTAGGCGAAGAATTCAAACCCACAAGAGGAGTGCGACAAGGTGACCCTATGTCCCCGTATCTTTTCGTTCTATGCATGGAAAGACTGGCCCAACTCATCGAACAAAAGACCCTTGGGAAGTCTTGGAAACCGATTTCGGTTGGGAGAGGGTCGGTCAAGGTTCTGTTTCTTATGTTCGCTGATGATCTCCTCCTGTTCTTAGAAGTTTCTGATGAACAGGTTGTGATCCTAAAGAACACCCTTGACCGCTTCTGCGATATGTCGGGCCTAAAGATAAGCTCAGAAAAAACGCAAGTATTCTTTTCACGTAATGTAAGGCCAGACGAGCAACATAGATTGGCAGATGCTCTTCGGTTTCAATGGACGAATAATCTTGGGACGTATCTAGGATTCCCGATCATTCATGGTCGAGTTACCAAATCGACGTTCTCTCATATTTTGACCAAAGCCGAGGAGCGTTTAGCAGGTTGGCAACTAAAGTCCCTATCACTGGCAGGACGAGTCACCCTTACACAGTTGGTGATTAGCTCTCTGCCTTATTACTCCATGCAGGCCGCTTTGCTACCAGGTGCTATCACGGAAGGATTAGAACGTAGAAGCCGGGCATTTGTGTGGAGTGGCACCGCGGAGAAGAGAAAGATTCATTTAGTTGCATGGAAAGAAGTTTGTCAACCTAAAGAAGAGGGTGGACTAGGGATTAAGAACTTACGTGTCATGAATTATGCGCTTCTCATGAAGCTCGGATGGAGACTTCTAACGCGCAGCAATTCCTTATGGGCGCGCCTTATGTCAGCCAAATATGGGCTCGAACCCTTGAAAGGTCTAAACACCTCCCGCTGCCGGCAAGGATCACCATTGATAAAATCCTTGAGCAAGATTTGGCCGAATTTGGTGAGGGAGGTTCGGTGGATCATAGGAAACGGGAAGACCGTTCGATTCCAGCATGTCTTATCTCAGCCGAATGTAGACACCATTAACTTGACGGTGATGGAGTATGTGGACGATAGAGGTAACTGGAGATGGGACAATTTTCATGGTCTTTTCCCTTCATCTGTTATCATGCAAATAGCTGGGATTGCACCGCCAAGAGAGCAAGCGGGAGCGGACCGTATGATATGGGTTGCCTCTCATGATGGAGACTTTTCTACACGAACTGCGTACAGAGCCTTAGCCCCGCAACCGAGGGACCCGGACCGCGTGTTATGGAAATTGATATGGCGTACTCAAGTACCACAACGTGTCCGCTCTTTCCTATGGTTGACAGCTCACGATCGGTTACTGACCAACAAAGAGAGATTCCGACGACACCTCTCCGCATCGGCAGAGTATGAGGCTTGTGGAGCTAGTGAGTCTACGCTACACGTGTTGCGAGACTGCCCCTGCGCAAAACAAATGTGGCACCGGCTCCTGCCGCCGTGTACTGCTCATGCTTTTTTCCAGCAGGCGCTTAGAACATGGCTGCGGAGCAATTTAAGCGGGTCGCCGCGAGGTCCTGACAAGCACTGGAGCAGTAGGTTTGCGTTTGGGATTTGGTGTTCCTGGAAATGGCGGAATGAACGGACATTTGAGAACCGTCTAATGGGTAGTGAGCCTGGAGCTCTGGAAATTCTTCGAAGAACGGACTCTTATGTGAAGGCGGCTGTGGCTTACTCGCGAGCGGGTGCGGCATCCTTTTCAATTTTCATGATTTATTGGCAACCGCCGGAACCGGGTTGGGTCAAAATGAATTCTGACGGATCCTTTAATCGCACCTCGGGGACGTGTAGTGCGGGTGGTTTGGTTCGAAATGCCAGTGGTAATTGGGTCAAGGGTTTTTAATAAATATTGGCTTGGGCACCGTTACCGGGGCCGAGTTATGGGGCATTTTTCAAGGGCTAACGTTGGTGTGGGAGCTCAGATTCCGACAAGTGGTAGCTGAAGTGGACAGTCAAAGTGTGATGAATATGATCTTAGGGCCACAGAGTGAACCTGGGGCCAACGATTCCTTAGTCCGAGCGATTAAGGATTTGATGAGCAGAGACTGGAACGTGCGAATTCTTCATGTACACCGAGAAACCAATTTTGCAGCTGACCAAATGGCTAAACTAGCGGCTGAGTCTCCGCTTGGACTACACAGGATGCAAGTGCCTCCAAAAGAGTTGGAGCCTTGGATCGATCACGACATCAGTGGGGCGACTTATCCACGTCGAATTCTAGTTTCGTAATTCCTGGGGCCTAGCCCCGTCTATGTACCAAAAAAAAAAAAGAGATTTAGACCAAAATTCAAGAAGGAAAGAATGAAAGGAGAAATTCTATTGTAGGATTGAATTTTTGTTATTATCTCACAATAAGGTATGAATTTTCAGTTTTTTTCATTTGAAGGTTTCAATTTTAAGTTAATTTTTTATTAAAGGCTTACATTTATATTTTAGTTCTCAATTTAAGACTCCAATTACTTTATATGTTTACATAAATATGTAAACCAAAATACTATTATTTTGAAATTTATATTTTAAATAATTATAAATATTATTACTTTAGTTAGAAAATTAATTCATTTAAGCTAAATTAATTTTGCATAAATGTAACTTATTTGAATTATACGATGCTAGTTTTATAAATATATTTAATAATTATATTATAGGTATTAATTTAATTATTCTTAACTTTTTCAAAATATAAATTTCATCCATAATTATTTTCTATAAGTTTATTTTTAAAAAATAAAATATTTTTCCTAAATAATTTATATTTTAATGTTATCACATACTTATATTAAATTTAGGTTAAAATTTATTTTATAAGTTTTAAAACAAATTTCATTAAGCTTTTGCATAAATGTAAATTGTGAAATAATTATCTTATTAGGTAATTTTACTAAAGGTACTTAATATTTTTCATTATAATTAAGTACTTAATAGAAGAAAAATACACGATCTTTACTCGATTGACCATTTACTCACGACCTTTAAACCTTGACAAATAAATACATGACTTTATATTCTTGGAAACCCGATACACAGATTTAACGTCAGTCAGTAGAAAGCTGATGTGGTAATTTTTTTTAACGGCCACGTCACCGAGAAGTCTGACTCAACAAATAGGAGCCAAATTATCATTCAAATCTTGACAG